ATATATATATATATATATATATATATATATATATATATTTACATTAATTTTTCACTTGCAAATGAGGTAAATTGTGTTAATCTCTATTTGTTTTACATTGATTTTCACTCACAAATGGATCTCAATTGATAAATCTTTATAATAATGTACTTAAAATCAAGCAATTATATTACATCATAGTTATTCACTTTATATTTTCCAGTTCTTCATATAGTTTTTCTATATAAATATACATAAAAGAAAATAAATATTATTTATAATTATATACTTAAAATCTTAATATGTGTGTCATTGTAGTAAATATTTATTATATAAATATCCAAAAATAATTTCGAAGCATACAATTGAAATATAAGTAAGAGATACAAAAATAAAATTGTGGCTTGGGGTTGGCGTTGTCATGTGATTACCTGAGTCGGTTGGGAAAATAACGGATTTTTTAAGTCATTTTTTAGAATATTTTGAAATATATATATATATATATATATATATATATATATATATAGGGTCGCTTCTCACATGAGAATGGGGCTTAATGCGAGAAATGAGAATAAACTGTAGCCATCAGATCGGATGATCTAATGTCTAAAAAAAAGTCAAAATAATACCTTCATTAAAGATATTATGATAATTTTCAACACCACACACCTAGAAGGGGACCACACTCAATATTAAATATCCTACTCCTACAAACTTGACAACTGCCACCCACCCGTCATTCACTCCACCTCACCCCACCCCACCCCAATCTCTCTCTCTCTCTCTCACACACGCAACACACACAAACACACACTGTAAAAATTGCACTCACCGGCGGACATCCACGACGGCAACACACACACACAGTCAAATTCGCCGGACATCCACGACGGCGCCGTCGTCCCGCCTCCCACCGACACCGTGTCAGACCGACGTCCCCAGCTGCGAATTCGCCGCCGTCGTTGCCGCTAAACCCGTTGAGATCGCCGCCGCTAAACCTGCCGAGGTCGACGCCACTAAATCAGCCTAGCCGTCTCCATCGTCATCATCCTATAGCAGTGGCAGCATCTTCAGGGAGTGTGGGGCCCGCTCGAGCAGAGGCGCCGGCGTGAGGTGGAGCCTGACCAGGAGCTCGACGACCATCGTCTGATATGGCGGCGTGACCCACACCTCATCGTCTTCACCCAACCGCTGTCGGAATTCCGCCGCCGGAAAACGTGCTGAATTCAAGTTTGGAGTGGGGGTCTTCTTGTGAGAATTTGACATTTCTTAGGGACTTCCTAGCAAATTCAGAGATTTTGTTTATATTTCAATTTCACCCCTGGGTCAAATGTGTAATATAGAAAGTTAATAAAAAAATAGTATTTTATTTATTTTTTAATACATATATATATATATTAAAAAATATAAATAAAAATAATATAAAATATTAAAACAATGTAATAATATTTTCTTTATACCTATATATAATATATTTTTTTATACCTATAAATAATATATTTTTTTCAACAAAAAATAATATAAGAAATTAAATAAAGTAACATAAAATTAATTTATAATAATAAATAAATTATATGATAAAAATAATAAATAAAAATAATAATTTAATTCTTTAGATTAATTAGATGTACAATTAATCAATTATATATTAAAACTATTTTTTCGAATACACATAATTTATCTAGAAAAGTATAAATTAGCGCACTTTATATTGCAGAATATTGCAATTTATAAAACAACATGTTGCACTTTATAAAACGACCCATTGCACTTTATCAACACACTCTGCAATTAATGTTAACAACGTTCACCAAATAATTTTACGCAATATAAATCTAAAAAACGGATCTACAAAATACTTTAAAATCAATCACATCATATATCAACAAAAAAAAAAAATAAAAAAAATACAATCATACGAAAGTACCAAAATTTCAGTATAGCACTTTATGTAACAATATGTTGCACTTTATACATCATTAAGTTGCACTTTATAAAACAAAAAGTTGCACTTTATAAGACAACAGGCTGCACTTTATACATCATTAAGTTGCACTTTATAAACCAACAAGTTGCACTTTACAAGACAACACGTTGCACTTTATCGCGATTATCCGTTCGGAACACTTAGACTAGACTTCTCATGCATACAATAATTTTCAAAAGAAACATTACACTAAATAAGAAGTGCGATAAATATGGAATACATCATAAATGTACCCACCTGATAGCAGCAACAGTTCACAGTCACAAATCCCGAAATGAGGCGGAGGTCAACACCTCTAGACACCTACATTATGTCAAGATCATACAATCAATATCTATCTTGACTTAAATCGGAAATCACAAGACAGGCCTAGTCGAACTTTGTTTCGACTAAGTAGTTCTTGAAGTCCTGTGGATGTTGGAACACTAAGACTCGGCACTAAACTCGACCAAACCACATAAGGGAGTTCACATAAATCCATCCAAGGATTGACCAAGTCAAACTCACATCAAAACGAAAAAGCAAGTCGATTCCCAATTTTCATATAAAAATCATGTTTCGAAAATAGCAATCATTAATCGCATGAAAAATAGATGGTCAAGCTACTCTATGACTTAGGCTCTGAAAATTTACACAAAATTACATCTCCTAGAAACATGTAAAATCACAAATTTTCAGCTTCAAACTCGAAATACACTATTTTATAAAATTCGAACAAGATATCGACAAAAAGGGATCATCAATTCATACTTCAACTTAATGAACGAATCAGAACTTGAAAATTTTACACCACAACATACAGAATGCTAAAGTCCATGTATAAAAATCTCAGC